TGCAAGTAGGCAGAAAGTATCCTTCTAAAATTTAAACATTTTACTTTTTGTCTGCTTTTGAGCTGCTTAATTTTGTGCCGAAAGTTCAGTTATCTGTACGTGAGACATGGGCGAACGTGGAAGAAGATATTGACGAAAATGAATAAAATAAAGCAAATGAGCTAAATTTAAATTTTTTTGATCTTGCATGGGCATGGAGGATTCTCCCAAAATTTCATTTTCCTGTCTTGCGCGCTCATAGACTAGGGGCTTTTTCTCCAGTACTTTCTTGCGTCCATACTCGACTTATGTAAAGGCCGATTTTGAGCTAAAGGAATCGGACATAGGCGAGAAACATTTCAAATTTTTAGTTTCCTAGTTTCTCGGTTGCTGAGTTGAAAACGCGGAACAGTTCTGTGTGAACTGTGTGCACATATTTGCGGTATTAAGTCATACATAAATAATTTTGTCGTTCATTTTTACAAGCTCAGGAGTTATTTTGGAAATGTTCCCCCATCCATTTAGGTGTTAATGAGCTCAAATCCAGACAGCGAGTATGCATGGTACCTACGCGCAGTTTTGTGAAAATTTTTTACGGATAAGTTGTTAACTTGGGAACCTGAAAAGCCATTTTTTTCTCAGTAGGCAAGCCTGGGAATACAAAATGGGAAATTAATAGGAAATTAGTGGGAAGTGTGTGTATGTTTCCTTTTTAAAACAGTTTCCTTTTTATTGCTTTTCTGTGTTTTGTGCAGGCAATGAACAATTTGCTGGTGCTAGCGAGGGAGTCGGAGGCGGGTGCATCTCGGATCTGGAACGATGGTAAAATCGTGGAAACACTGCTGGCGGTGATTGATGACAGTTCGACGGACGCGACTGTTGCGGTGGCTGCTGCGCGGGTTCTTGATGAATTGGCAAAAAACAGCAAGCGGGTACCACTTTTCTACTATTTATGAAATTCTGGTAGAATTACGTACTTTTACACATATATGTTAAATTTAAAAAATTCAAAACTTGTGACAGTTATTAATTTGTGAAAGTGCGTTTAAATTTTTGAATTTGCAATAACAAACCAAAATGGTTTTGGAAACTGCTGTAACTTTATCGGAGATCTGCGCTTATGGAAAATCAATTCCCTACAAAACGTAAACGATCCAAAATTAGAATCCTGTCAGTGGTAAGGCTAAAGAAACTTTACTTCGGGGTGAAAAGTTTCTGTAGCCTTACCACTGATAGAATTCTAATTCTGAGTCGCGTTTACATGGCCAGCGGGAAAAAATCCTAACGATTCCAACGAGGAGGATGCTGGAAGCTCCAGAACGATTTTAATATTTTGTCAAAAAATTCTTTTTTAATATTTTGTCAAATATTAAGTGACTGTATTTAATTTGTGCTCGCCAGGCGATGGCTATTGTGGAATGCTTGGGAATGCGACGGCTTTGTCGGCTAATCGAAAAGCGCACAAATTCGGAGTTTGTTGATGCAGCGGGTGTTATCATTCAAAGAATATTCAATGCTTTAGCGAAAATGGATCGTAGGAATGATGTTAAACCTGATCCGGAAGTTTGCGAAGGTATGTCACTTGTCGCAGATTTGTCAAGATTTGTGATTTCCTATTCATATGTGGGAGTTGTTGGTCCGGGAGCTGGATCCAGTAGGAATGTATTTTCGGCATTCTGCTTTTTTTTATGTCAGATGCATTTTTACCTCTTTTTATAAGCGGAAAAAAAGGAGCTGATCGAAATTTAAAACATACTTTTGATATATTTTTGTGCTCGTCTATCTTACTTTGCTGTGTTTTCATATACTCAACTGATTTTACGAATGAACTGTTTATTCATCCAACTCAATAAAGTTTGCATTTAAGCAAATAAGATACAAATCATACGACTAATCCTGGAACTCGAAGAAATGCTAACTGATCCAGAAGTGTCGGCAGTAGTACGCGATACCGTCATTGATATTTTGTTGAAA